CATCTGCAGCGCCAGGAGTGCCCCTGCACCCACGCTATGGCCACCCTGCACGTTTTTTTTTGCTCTGCCGCTCCGGCCGCCCCGCAGGTTTTTTGTTTGTTTGTTTGTTTTGCTTGGGGCGGCAAAAAAGCCAGAGCTGGCTCTGATCACAGAGCAGTTCAACCAATGGAACAGAGAAGCTAGCCACTTCTGTTTCCTGCCCAGTGAAGCTTACCAGAGGGTGACAACCAGCAGTAAGGGTAATCTATAATATGGATGGACAGTACTGTGTAGTAACTAATTACAATATATTTATATATAAAGGCCTCAGTGGTAGTGTCACTACTCCAAATTTCTGTTTTAATTCTCATGTACATAGCACTGTGAGACACATTATCACAATCCCTATCTCAGTATTTCAAAACACTCAGCCAACTACTAATAATGATACAGATGGTAACTGTAATTGCCCTAATAAAAGTGGGTTGCTATCTGCAGTACCAGAAGGGCCAAATTACACCACCAGATTGGAAAAGAATTGTTATGCTTGGATATAAAGTGCTGTTATATGTACACATACATACATATATGCCCGTATACACTACAAATATATACACCATATCCATATTATTCATATATATTAATTATTTGGTGTGCCTCTAAGGCTCAGTCATAATACTACATTCCTCAGTCATGGTCCCAGGCCTAACATTCCCAGGCATTGTCACATATGTACCAGCAGAACTATAGACATCTGATCTGGGGAGCTAGAGACTGTTTCATTTGGCAATAAACCTGGCCGGGTGCCTTCGTACCTTATCGGAGTCTGTGGTCATTGGGCAGTTCGCTTGAGATCTGCTGTACCAGTGATCTGCGCAGAGCTGGGACAGCACACAGGGAGAACACACACACACACAGCTGACTGTTATCAACATTAGACAGAGCAGAGCACCACACCGGTGACGTCTGACAACACATACCTATTACTGTACACCGTATGTTTCTTCTGCCCACCTTACCCAAGTATGTATGGAAGTTGTCATGATACTCTGCAGGCTGGCTTCTGATTTTCTAGTGCAACTGATAAATATCCCAATTAAAAAAAAATGCAATCAGTGTATATTCAAAGAGAAAGCCGCAACCCCCCGTTTTTTTGGACAGTTACATAAAACTCAAAAACTGTTGAAAATAACCCTCCCAAAACGAAATTAATAAATGCCAAAAAACAGAAGCACTGTCTGTGGGTTAGTGGCAGAATCAGTCAAGGTGCCCTACAGAGGTTAATAGGGCAAGTGACCAGGGGTCCCTCAGACTTGTGTGGGGATTTATTTCATCCACAACAGGGACGCTCACAGGAGCAGGAGGCTCATCATTATCTCCCTCAGCCTGGCCTAGGGGACGCGGAGGTGATCGGGGGAGGACGACAGCGTAGACCTGGTGCAGGTTGAAGGCTCAGTGTTGGCTGTTGAGGGGCTGGGTGATGAGATGGTCTAAGAGCACTAGGACACTGGGATGCAGATCCCACAGTCCCACTGTCTTCGCCTTTAGGGGGCGCTGGGGTTCCCCAGCCCGCACCTTGCCCCGGAGCTGGCAGGAGGCGCAGGTTCCCACAGACCGCACCTTTCCTAGGGGCCAGCAGGAGGCACAGGGCCCCACAGCCCGCACCTTCCCCAGGAGCCGGCAGGGGGCGCTGGGCCCCACAGCCCGCACCTTCCCCAGGAGCCGGCAGGGGGCGCTGGGCCCCACAGCCAGCACCTT